TGGCAGGTTTTTCTTTTCACTTTGTGGTCAGTATGAATTACCGTGGAGTGTTTTTACTGTTAAATGTGGTGAGACTTACCTTGGGCCTTGAGGACACACTTGACGCTACAGGACCCAGAAGGGAAAGACAAAGAGAGACACAATTAGGACAAAATAACAGCTATCCTAACCAAGACAGTCCTGACAAGAACAACACATGCAGACTCTCCACAATGGCCAAACTTTTAATTCACAGCGTTCAAGCTCAGACTCAAGGGACTGCTCTTCTGAACACTGAGCGAAGCGCTTTAATGAACTCTACAGGGAGACGACAGCAAACAAGAGAGAGACGGCTCCGAACACTCATATCACCTGTGGCTTCATTAAAACTCCCCCATCAAACAAAGAACATGGAAATGGCCCCATATCTTCTCCCAGACCGAAGCTCGTCGCTCACAAGGGCCCAATGCAGTGAAACGACAATGTGCCAACATCAATATTTTACCGAGTTTCTAGCTAACAATGCAAGCCAAAGTCTGGGCGGAATTCAAAATTAAGTTCAACAATAACAGTTCAATCTTATCAGTAACTTTTAGGTAATAAAAACACTCGTTTAAGTCGAGCCATTCCATAAAATGGAGTCTCTAAAGGCTTCGCTATGCGATTTTCTTTCAAACAACAGTGATTACAAACACAATTCACAATCAAAGCTCTCAGACGGCAGGAATGGGAGTGTTCTCAAAGGCAGAAGAGTGAGTAGCCAAAACCCAGTGTACACTATAATACTGCCATCTGAATCAAATTTCTGAGATTGTAAAGGATTTCTATTGTTGTAGGGCAAAATCATAGATTGGTAAGTGAAAGAAAATATGAATAGGACAGAAGGTGCGAAACCAATTTGCATCCTAAATACTTGGGCTGTCTGTAATACAGTGCAATGCATCACATGATTGGATGGTATCTTCAAGCATGCATGGCTGCTTCTGCATAATACATTGTTTGTCAACTGTCAATTTGAGACGTCTTACAGGTCGCCTGTCACAATGGCTAGTCGATGAGCGAAATTGCCCATCACTGCACAAAAAAATACCTGCATTCGGATGGTGGCAGGTGTTAATTTCATAGCTGAGTCTGTTTCGACTTGTTGCAAAAATAATTTGAGTAATGAAACAATAAATCAGATGAGATACATGATGGAAGACGATATTAGAGTCGATCTGTTATTAGGGGAATTCTGAGCTATTTTCTGGTTCGAAAACGTCACGTTACATTGCACGAAAGCGTCAGCAGCACCTCATAATTATTCACGACATCATGTCACATTTGTCCTGAGACGAGCGCTTCAAACGCTCAGCAGGCACTTCAGTGAGTTGATACCTTACAGAAACACTTGAAAGCCTGTTCACTGTGATGCTGATGGAGCGACAGGCTTTCAATCAACCAGCAGCTTTGAAATGTTTGAGTGCAATGAGCAGTTATCAAGTGAGAGTTTCTAAATTCATTAGGCAGTGGACTGAGACAATCTGATAGCACTGGACACAAACACCATCAAAACACTCACTGAGTCAACATCAAGGAATAACTAAAGTTATGCAAATGCACATTCACTTTTTTGATGCAAATGAAAACAGCTTGCATTTATTAGTGCATTAAATAATAGATATAAAATGAGCTGCGTGTATTTGTGTAATGCACTGTGAACTTGCATAATACAGGGCATTTTGTTGAAAGCAATAATGAATAGAAGCATGCATTTATGAGAACCTTTGATGCCATTAAAACAAAACAAAACTACGTAGATCAGACACAACTGTTGTATTCTCTCCTCCCTCCACTCCTACTCTTTTCACTGTTCTGAGAACTGATGTGCTGAAATGAAGGGTTTCATGACACTTTACCTAAATGTGATGTCAAATTGATTGCAGCTATGCTAATGCAAAGATGCAAACAGTGCACCAACAATGGCATGTTAGTATATTCCAGTTATAGCTTACTTGTAAGTGTACTTAAAGTATGTACTGATGAAGTACATACTTTTAGTATGTAGTAGAGTAGAGCAACTTTGAATGTTAACTTTTTCAGCAAGCGTGGTTCTGGAAGTATTTTTCTCATTAATTTTCTTCATAGGCATTCAAAAAATAAAACAGTTTGAAAAAACAACTACTTCCAAGATAAATCCAGCCTAAGCTAGTGGCCGTATGGGTCTGGTTGGATGGTTTTAGAGGGGTTTTGAGTATTTGTCAGTTTGTCAGACTGGGGAACAAACTATACCTGTTTAAACAAGACTAGTGAACTACCTTAAGCTGGTAGAAGCGGTTTTGTCTTTCAAAATGCAATGAAGAAAATGCATGAAACATTGCAAATTACGCAGTCAAATCTGCAACATGCAACCTGTGTTGTTATTGTTAACTAAAACTTCAGAAATGAAGCTGACATAAAATAGAAATTTGAGATGAAAAACTTGAGGTACTAAAATTACAAAGTAAAATAGAGCTAAATAGAAACGTTAAAACAAACAAAGCACATACAATTGAAAACTGAAAATATAAATATAAAAGCTAATTCAAAATATCAATATATAAAATAAAAAATGCATATAATATTACATGGTAAGTTTAATGTACAATTTTCTAAAGTATACAATATTTAATTATGTTATTCGGAATGCTGGCAATTGCATGGTCTCTGTTGTGCAATTTCCATTTCTGAGCCGATGGTGACTTTTGATTGGTGGATCTCTCTTCAGGATTATGGGTAGTGTAGTATCTCACTGGAAATTTTGCATTTAAACTACTTGGCGAAAATTTCTTTGTTCATTCAAAAATGCTTTATCTATGAAGCAAATCGAATGTAATTTTACTTCCAGACCCCGACTGTTGCGCTCTACTGGGATGCAGCCAAAGACTTCACTGCACACTGGGAAATAAGGACGGAAGCAGGTCAAAAACCCAGAAGACAGCCGAGTATTAGCCGGCATGCTGAGAGATAGATTGAGAGCGGGAAAGTCAGAGCGTTAGACTTACGAGAGCATGCAGGAAAACTGTGGTTAATCTGTTCCACAACCTCAGCCAGATCAGAGTTACTGTTAGCACACTGATGGAGAAACTCATCTGAGGACACACACAGAATACACTCAACAGATTATTACATAAAGAAGTCAAACAGAGCCCTCAGTATAATCACCCAGCGTTGTGTGTATGTGTGTGTGTGTATCTATACCTGTGAACTCGGCCTGTCCTGCTGTATCCTGATGGAGAGAGCCAGAAGAGGATGAGCCATTTAACTCAGGCTAGAAAGAGAGATAGGCATCGTTTAAAATCAACTTAACCCTAACTAACAGTGATACACCTGCAACACAGTATCAAATATTGAAAAATGCATTAGTGCTTCCAGTGTTTCAGTCATTACTGCCTCCTGTAGGTGGAAAGCATGGTGCCAGAAATGTCAGACTGGAATGACAGTCTTGTTTGCCTTCTTGGATATCAAGTTATATTGTGTTTATTTAGCTAAGAGCCTTTGACAAGACCATCTGGCTAAGTCAGGCCCTCAGGAGACCCAATAAATTACTGTTACTCTAAATCAGGGCTCATTGAACTCCTGTGCTTGATTCACGATGCTATTGGCGGCCGCTGGACTCCCTGGCATTGCCCGTTAGACCATGAAACCCATTGAAGGATGGAACAATAGCAGTTTATACAGCGAGGTAGCTGAGCCAGGTGAATGTTAGTCTCAGCTTCACACTCGGGACGGTTCAGGAACAGGCTGATGCATATTCAAAAAATAGGACTGCCTAAGAGAACAGTTCTTGGCCAGAATAAGATGCTAGGCTTTAGTTCCAATAATCAAAAGGCTATACAACATTCAAGCTCTGTTCCAATAGAGCGCTGCGGGGGTGACATTTTTTGTTGGCCAACCTTGTGTTTACCAAAGACCTTATTTCAGGCATTTAACCAAAAAAAACCATCAACTTTAGGATGATGGAACCAGAAGTGCTAAAACACTAACTTATGTAGCTTATATAGTACATTACAAAAAAATTATAATTTGATTAATTTCAACAAATTTACTGTCAATACATATGTAGTCTTTGGCTGCGTCCATTGCATCCGACACGTTTTTTTTTGCTGACACGCCCCCAATTCGAAAACTCGGGGCTTAAAGAAAACTTTGAGTTTCCCACTCATAATAACGACTTTGTGGTGGTGTTAATGTGCATTCAACTCATAAATACGATCTATCTGACATGACTTGAACACACCATTAGCTCCAACCCTAATCAAACACACCTGAACAATCTAATCAAGGTC